TTCAGAGGAAGTAACTTCTACATCACTACCAAAAAACATGTCCACATCCATGCTTCCATCAAGATTCAAGCCCAATTTGAAGGAAACTGTCCAATATCTTCTACCATGTTAACAATTACACTTCAGCAGAATCTTTGAGAGGACCCCAGAAGTCATGGTTGCTCCAGCATGCCCCAGCTCTAGAAGTTCCATGTCCTTGGAAGCATGCACACGTGCATGCATTCCTGGTAGATATAAACTGTGAAAAACTTTCCTTTAAGGATTAAAATGCAGGTTCTGCAATACGGGTAGTCCTCACTTAATGATCCTAATTGGGACCAGAATGTCTGTCGCTAAGTGAAGCGATCATTAGGCGAAACATGTGACTGTACCGCTTAGCAACAGCAGTTCCAGTAGTCCCAGCTGTGGTCGTTAGGCCAGGACCGTGCTGTTGTTAAGCAAGTATGTCACACTTCTCTTGCTCTGCCACGCTCGCCTCCGTTTCAACTCCCCCCACCCCTCTATTTCCCCCCATGCAAGGCTTCAGGGAGGCTCCATGGAGGTCTCACGAGACTTCAGGGAGGTGGCACGGAGGCCTCGCAAAGGGCCAGCAGCTGCCTTGGCCAGGCATACCACATCAGCAGCGGGAGGAAGAAGATGGCAAAGGTCAGCTGGGGCAGCAGGGGTAGGAGGCGGAGTGCAGGGTGGCCAAAAGGGCAGGGGTGAGGGGGATAGGCGGGCAGGGGGAGTTGAAGTGCACACTGTGGTCATAAATGTGGGTGGGCTGCCAAGCGCCCAAATTTTGATCATGTGACTGCGGGGGCACTGCAACGGCCATAACTTTGAGGACCAGATGTAACTACCATTCGTTCAATGCCGTCACAACTTCAAACAGTCGCTGAATGAATGGTTGTTAAGTGAGGACTACCTGTATCTACCTGTATACTGATACTGTCCTTTAAGAGAATCCACAGCTGAGGTGTTCCAGAGTTCAAAGAGGGCAGAGTGCCAAAATAAGGTATTACAAGTGAAGTGAAGACCAATCTGGTGCAGGGCTGGAACCCAGAAGAGTCATGCTTAAGCCACAGGTAGCAATCTGGGGTGAGCCAGGAAGCCTTCAATTCCTTCCCACTTGGAGGCTTCCAGTGATCAGTCCAGGATTTTCCTAAAAAACCCCTACTATTTGCAGTTCAGTGATGTACCTCCTGGACTGCTACACAGATTCAGTCATTCCCAATAACCACAATTACAGTCTTGGAATTAAACCCAGATATAACCCTGATGACAGTCTTGGAATTGGGGGGAGGGAATCATGCCCTCCCCAGGCTTTAAACCCAGTGAGTGACCATCAACCAATCACCGCCCCTTTTTCCTGTCAAGGATTATGTGGGAATAACTGATTGGAGGCCTCAAGTCAAAGGTGGGAAGGTCTGAAGCTAGCAGTGGGTGGAGTTAGAAACAAAAATGGGTGGAGCTTCCCCTTCCCACTATGGTGGTTTCTTTTCACTGCCTAGCTGGAAAGGGGAACATCCTGTGGTCAAAAGTCTTCTAAAGTACCCCTGCACAAGAGCAAAATCAGACTAATGAATATTTAGCTATAAACCTTTCCTCCTTACTTCCTAGCACATTGTAGTTCTTAAGACATTTCTTCCTAGCTGGAAAGGAGACCACAGGGAGAAAATACCTTAAAGCAGTTGAATGCAAAGTGAGAAGGGAAAGGGCAAGAGATGTGCCCCACCTGTCATGAGCTTGTAAAAGATTATTCCTACCCTATTTAGCCAAGCAAGTGAATATTATAATATATATAATCACAACAGTGATTTGGCCCTTAGTCCAGCAAACCTTGCAGGGTTGTTCTTATGGATAAAAGGCAGAGGGAGATCCTGTTTGCAATTACAAACTCCTACAATACAATATAAACATTCTGTAATGAAATATGCTAAAATGGGTTGGGGAAGCCCTTCCATGGAAGGAGATGAGTGAAAAGAGAAGAGGATTTTCTTTCCCCCACTTGATAAATCAAAGAGAAAAAGGATGTGCCTTTCAATGTAGGCTGTTCAAAATGAAATAGCC